TCCAGGTACGTATGGCAAATAATCCTTTGACGCGTTCCACCGACCTGTTAACAGAATTTATAAACATAATGGGGTACGTGGAAGTGGAACAGACCAAACTGATTCCAACAAATAGATACTTGAAATTTTGTATTTCAGTACACAGCTACACAGCGAACGTGAAAACCAATGCGTTATTAATACGCGGGAACCATCCTTTTGATGTTGTTAAAATGAATTTCAATCTGCATTCGAAGAATTTTGCGTTCCAAAGATAAATGCAAATATTCATTTTCAATATGGCGCTCGCACATAAGCCGATTATTTACATACGTTTGTACATAGTATATTACAGGCGCATATTGTTGGAAATATGAATTAATATTCTGTCTCTGAAATAAATTGATAACGCAAAAGGGTAATTAAAATTGTAAAGTTTTCAGTAGCGAGATATAGAGATAGCACAGTGCTTAATCTTGTTAAATTGTGTCTATTAGGTATTCAAACTTTGACTAGTTATTTTATCAATAGAACTTAAATAATTGCCTAAAAGTCTGCGACGTGACTGGGTGTAATTATCAATTTTATAGATACTTGTTATGTAAATTCACTGTAGCTTTAAATCTACATACATTATTAGGTAGGTGTTCTCTGAGCTAGGGTTAAGACACCACTTAAAGAAAAATAACTTGAATAAAGAGTAAAGCTAAAGCTTCAAGTGTAATTAATTAAACTCGTCTCAGCGGCAATGTCTGCTCAAGTAAACATGTCTATATGTTCGTCTGCTAAGTTAAAACTTTGCATTTTTCTAAGCTTGTTAAAAGTTCGACTTGGTTTATTATTGTTCAAGAAGCAAGAAAGGTTAGTTGCACGATCTTTCTGTGTTTGCAAACGATATATTAATTTTGATTCAGTTTTTAAATGCATTAAATAAATTAAAAATAACCACTTTCTGATGTGAATTAACTGCTAAAAGTTCTACTAGTTTCAAGTTCCAGCGGGACTCTTATACATGAGAAGAGTGGGCATCGCCGGGACGTCATAATTTTCAATAAATTTAGTATTTTCTGCGACAGTTAATAGTCAACAATATTAATGTAATAATATGCTCTATAATACAACAAATACATATCAATTTATAAAAGCAATAAAATCACTTAGGCAACTAGTAGGATAATAGTGATCATTCACCCGCCGTTTCCGCAAACACAATGAATGAATAGACACATTGTCTACCACAAAAACACCTGAGTCACATGAGTTCCAATAAATCAGTGTCGTTCCCGAGTCGTCCTCGTGTCGTAACAACTAACCGTCGGTAGTCAGTCGCTTTGTAACTTTACCAACTTGTATTTAGTTCAGGTAAGACACTACAAGCTTAACATCAACAATTCATGCATAATTAATTAACTTTAGTGCCAACAAACTCAGAGATTTCAACGAATACAAAGTACAGAATAACGGGTATTATTCGGTTCATTTGATAAAATTAAAAGTTGCAGAAAATTCGCACCAACTAACATCTCTTTTGGAGCTCGAGTTTCTGCAAGTCATGTTTCGTTAAACAAAATTATAACTTAGTTAAAGTTATAATTTTCACTATAACTAAACTTAAATAGTGCTTAGATGAATTTTGAATCGAATGAATACCCCAAAAGCTTATTGGCTACTCAATACATTGTTTGCTTGTTCCATAATAACACAAACTCGATTATAGAATCGAAGGCCGCATGCATATAGATATTTTCATTTCAACCTTTATGACACGTGTATGCTAATTCAGATCAATCACGATCTATTGTCGGTTTAATTTGAAGTTTGTTTATTATTCAGGGCAATGCACATTGTCACAGTTCGTATTTATTAAGTAAAATATCCCGTTTAATCTCTTTGTCAGGAGTTGCGGTTGTGAACTTCGTTAACAAATATTGTTTGAATAATTATAGAACAATGAGATCAAAAGAACTTCACAACGATACACCAATACAAACGAACATACAACGTTAATTACTTTGTAGTAACGATATTATCCCAAGGAAGGTGCAAACCAATGGATTCAATATTGTTTATTGTATTTCCCACATAATGAGTCAAGATAACCAATTGACGACAGAGGAATCGTAGTAAATGCGTAATACTTTAACCTAGATATACCACGTCGATGCACGACGATTTCTGGAAACTGGGTCGTTCTTGCATTTACCGATTCCTCATAATTGGTAATTAATGCAGGTCAATAAATTGTTCCTTCGTTAAGACAAGGGCAAGGACAGGAAGGTATAGCATGCTCATTGACCTAGATAACTCTTTACATGTCTTCCTCTCGATCTTACCCTAATTTGTTTACATGAGCATTAAGAAAAGGGGTCGTGAGGTACGGGACCGTAAATTATTAATTACTTACACCGTTCTATTTATATATGTAGGTATATTTCAACAAAATTAACGATTAATTAATTACAAATTGTTTTACAGATTTGCAGCCTCGCTCAGTTCGCAGCGTAGACGCTTTGGTAAACAGCGAAAAGCGCGTGAAGCGCTGCGCGTGTAGCTGCGGCAACTAGGGGCGTAACAACGCACGCGCAGGGCGCGTCGTAGCGCAGAGGCGCTTCTTTCCGTCCATTTTGTCAATCTCCAATATTAGTTACAGTTAATAAAACCTTTTAGTTAACATAATAATGGCTTGTCTCTAACATTTCTGTAAATAAAGTTGTTAATCCATGAGCTTCCGATAGTGGTTTTTAATTACCTGTCACTGCATAGAGGTTGTATTTATGGGAAATTTTAATGTTTGTTAAATAATTATAAATTTTATAGTTGGTTTGTTTCCCGTTTTGATGTACCAATGGATTTCTATTATCGACGGTAGACTTGAGAATGCAATATGTAAGGTATAATAATAGTTTTAACCTTAGGTACGTGTGTGTAGGTGCATACGTGCATGTTGTAATTGTGAGGGTAGGGGAGGAGGAGGTCAGCGATGCAACATCCATCTGAAAGATTAATTCACAACCTCGAACACTCTGTTCTGTTTGTTAATTGGTTTTAGAGGGAATACTGATTGTTAACATAAGAATATTTGCATTTTTTGGGGTTAATGTCGAAATGCATTTATTTCAAAAGAAACTCTTTAACCTTGTTTGCATACACCTTGCTCCTTAATAACTAGTGGTGATATTGTAAAAATTTAAATCAAACTTGTATTCTATTATTGTGATCCTAAATTAAATTTGTACTAGTTTTATTCGGCTGATAGTTTTATTTGATTGCTTACAATGATACCCTGTGTACATGAAATCCTTAAACATACAAAGAACTACATTCGATACAGTATGAAATCAGATCATTCGGCGCTCCTTGTCAAGAAGAGCGCAAATAAAAAAATGCAAAAGTTCACTGATGGGCGGCGCCGATTGCTCATGGCCACCGATTGGTTGACCTGGTTGCTCGTTTACAGGATCAATTCCTAAAAAGTGAAGTCTGACTTAGGATTATCTTAGAAATTCTTCTCCATAAGAATTAAAAATCGCAAGTTCAATGTAACTGGGAATGCAATCCTATCGATTTCCATACATTTTTTATCCAAACACTTGACTGGACGTAGCGCGCGATACATTGATACATTGTGTATCGTTATGTAAAGGTTTTTAGATAAATATCTATTTACGATAAACGAGTGCCCACCTAATATATTTTTATCTTTAACGTGATTCACACTCAAAATATGTGTGTAGTGAGTAAGTAGATGCGAGAATGAATTCATTATTTATTTTGATATCGATAGTAATTACGGGGAAGAGTACATCATTATATTGGCTTTATTATTTACTGTTAATATAATTTAAAGAAATATGTTAACTTTTGGCCCAGAAGGAATAACATGCCTTACGCACACGGCGAAACAAATCACAGGCGTACAGATGGGGCTCAGCCGGGGTTGCGGGGTAAGCGCAATGAGGCACCGCGACTTCGGCTCAGAGCAGGAGGAGGAACGGGGGTTTTTTAGTCAGTAAGAGTCTGATACTCTCTCTCGCCTTACCCTGAGCGGGAGAAGTCATTAGATGATTTTCCCCTGTCAAAAAAAGGCGTACAGATGGGGTCCAACATGGCCAATGCTTAGCCGGGGTCACGGGGCAAGCGCAACAAAGTACCGCGGTCTCGGTTTGGAGCAAAAGGAACGAGGGGTTTAGTCAGTAAGAGTCTGACACTCCCTTTTGCCATACCCTCGACGAGAGAAGTCATTTGATGATTTACTCTCCACAAAAAAGGCATATTTTCACGACAGTTAAGGCGAGGCAAACAATGTATATCATACAATTCTAGAGTAAATTCACTAACATAACAACGAAAGCTCGACCTCAGATTTAGCCACCAGTTTAATTAGATGAACTAGAGAGTACTCGTATACATTATACACGAGCTAAATTTATAAGAATTGTAAATTTCTAGTGTATAGTATTACTACATTATTCGTTTAGTAAACTTGTAGTTGGTGCATGCACTCCTCATAATGAATGCGTTACCTCCAACAGAGGGATTACATTAGAGGTAGCGTTCAGTGATCTTGTACACACAACCACAGGCTGGGGATTGGGATTTATGCAAATATGCATTTAACCAAGAATTTACAATGTTGTTCTTGACTCGCAAACTACAAATGTGTTACTTAAAATAGCATTTTTAATGATAGGAGGCAAACGAGCAGACTCGTCACCTGATGGTAAGTGATCAGCGCCGCCCATTGACACCTGCAACACCAGATAAGTCATAGCTGCGTTGCCGGGCTTTGGTTGCTACAAATGTCTATTCTATGTATCTACTGAATTTGAAAATTCTATGTTACGTTCTGTTTTTATGTCTTATTAACTTTAGTTTTTAATTAGAAGACAAAGGTTTTTAATATTAAAAAATTATGTAATACACATTAACTTTAATTATACTTATAACAGACGGTATGAGTATCGAGGTATAAGTACATAATTATTCACTTAAAACTCAAATTATTTACTTGAAATTTAATACTAACTCGTATTGAGTCTCCGATTCTTGTCATTTGGCAAACCTGCAGATTTACCAACAGACACTTGTGTAGGGATTAATGAATATCTTCTTATCCTGTGACAAATAAGAACAGTTACATAAATATAAGGAAGTATTTCATCATTCAAAAAGTCTGAATGATTATACTTATTGAAATAAGTTTTCCTCAAGTTAGTTATCACTTGAAGTACCTCATGACGTAATTAGCTAGTTCGTGTTGAGTTTCACTAGTTCTAGGTAGTTTCGTTTTATCTTATAGTGCGTCAAGCGACTAGAAAGCCCACCTCATAGTTAGCAATCGGCGCCACCTTTCCCGGACTATTGAGGGTTAGGGATTTAAGAAAATGGTGAAACATTCCGCAAGTGTAGTTCTATAACAGTTTTTTGTGAGCTCGTGGTATAATTTTGGTTGAGCCATTCATGTCGTAACACGGCTCTCCATCTCATCTTATGCTTAAAATAACATTTAATTTAGTGTTATGATATGCAAGTTCCTGCCAGCGGCGTCGGCCGCAGTACTAGGGTAAAAAGAAGCCCCGTATGTGTCCGAAGAGGTATTAAAATTTAGCGCTTTTTTGTATTTGAGTGGGATACAAAAGATTATTAAGAGATTTTCTCAAAATTTCAAGTTCCAAGTTGTGTATGGTTGCTTACATATTTATACGTAACTTAATACTGTTATTCTTATGAATTATATTTAATATATATTGGTACGAGTATAATTGGTATTAATTTTTAATTACAGAGTGCCTTATTGGTTTCTTTTCCACAGAAGTTGTAACCAAAGCCAAATTAATTTGATTTATAAGTTCTGATAACGACATTGATGTATAAGAATTACGTTTTCCTCACTTTTTGCATTTAAAGGTACTCAATTCATACTTTTATATGTAAGTATTTTGCATATAAATAGTGTCATTATAACACAAATATGCATGTGCAAACTATTGTTATAGGTAGGTACTAGTAACTATAAACAATGGATTTGTGACGTAAATGATTAAGAAACGGAATGATTTGTTTGTATATATTAAAATTGTAAATAAAAAACTGGACAAGAACTGGTCGGAATCACCTATTAAAGGATTCTGTACAAAGCTAGAGTTGACGTAGAAAGTCTGTTTATATTTTTTTTGAATATTTTAACGTTTTTGCATCGTAAATGGTTTGAAATACATGGAATTAGATATACTTTACAAATGAGATTCAATAAACATTTAGTTTTCAGATCAATCTAAAGTATCCATTGTAAAAAATTGAATTCATTAGAGTCATTGATTATAATCAATGACTGATATCCGAAGAAAATTATCGTCAGATGTTTGTAGCATAAATCTAAAATAGCCGTATTATTTATTGTCTGTAGAATTTTGATATTTTAAATTTTGATAAACTATACTGTTTATATGTACAAAACCACGCATTTCTGAAAACCGAAATCGTAGCAGTCAAGCGAACAGAAGGATAACAATGTGATCCAGTAAACTTGTCGTTTTCCGTGCTAAGTACTTATCTATTCCTAAAATACAGACAACATTTAACTAGATGGCAGTTCTATATGTAACCATTGATTTATTTAGGATTCAATACTTATTTTTTGAGCTATGTATTATAGTTTAATCTCCATGGAAGTTTAAGGAACAAAATTAAATAGAAACAATTTAGGTACGGTGTTAAATAAATTATATTTATTATCAGTTATATACAGAGTATCAATAATATTCTAGTTGAATTGACTCACTCGCAATCCAATCACAAAACTGGAAAGAGGAATGCTTTAACATTTCATGTTGGCATCTGCTAAGCTATAGTCAGGTAATGATCTCGATGACTGTGTCTTATTCTGATAAGTTAATATCAATAAAATTATATATAAGACAAGTATCAATGCATTCATTAGGAACCCTGAAATATAACCAATCAACAACGTCATTGCCGATTTCAAACACCACAGTTCCATTATATCTTTGGAGAACAAATAAACGTTTATGGTTAAACAAAGTAAGAAAGTTACCACAGCCAGACTCCTGGCGAACTGTCTTATTCTATCAGACAATATTCTGTATACTATGGCGATGTAGACGCCCGTCCCCACGAATATCAGCGGCCATCTGAACACACTGCACATCAACAAGTTGACGTACCATTTATCCACGAAATCCGTGGCGATAATGACCGAACAAACCACAACTATGGGTATCGGTATCAACCAAGAATAGGACATCACTTTATAAAAACTATTCTGACTTATTTTAACTAACACTATTATTAAACTGTTATACATGTGCTTTATAAAAAAGAACACTAACACTGCTATCACAAGATCAATGTAAAGTTGAAAACAATACAAAAAATTAGCGACCGCCTCGCTATCTGTTATTTTATCACGACATTCTAAAAACTTAAAAGTAAATATAATCCTCTTGATAAATCTTGCAACGGTTAATTGCATTAACATTTGATTCCTATAGTTTTTTCTCCACCTTTCCATCTTGATAGCTGCGACGATTGATATAATTAATTCTAGTGTTGTCATAACAAGTTCGATCACGACAAATGTTCCAAATATTGAGTAATTGTTGTACACTAAACTTTCTGCGCCAAAGATGGCGCTGTTGTTGGAAGCATCTTCACTGTCACTTGGTGTCGGGAACGCATCACTTTCGTTCAGTGGCGGGTCTGTAACCGGCGTCGCCAGCGTCGTTATCAACTCTGTCACATCATTGTTGTCAACAATCGGTTGGACGATGTCTTCAGACATTTTGACTACATTGACATAATAATATACAAATAAAATATTATTTTAACACAAGAACCACGTGTAGTGTGCGCCTACGGGGCTGCCAGACTGCTAGTCAAGTGATACTGTAACGAGAAACGGGAAACAACAGCTTACATAGGTATATATTATTCATAGGTAAATGATACATGAGTTATTGGAATTTGCGGTTTCGCAGACGTCATAGCGGTGGGTGCAAAATACCCGAGTACCAGTTACTTCCACTAACGGTTGAATATATTGTACGGTACACATGTTATATGTTTCACAATAAAATATTGTAGTTACTATTCTAGAAGATATTTATTTCAAAGTATTCAGAGGAATAAGTTATTTTCTCGTGTTCGGAATTTAATATCGTACGATGTTACCTTTGATATCACGATATTAAATGTTATTTTCATACTTATCTGAAGCGGACTGCTGGTTATGCAATTGTGAAGTTGATATTTCTGCGCGTACATAACTGTGGCCCATATTAAACTCGATTACAATGCACGGTTTAGTTATAACTATTGTATGAATATAAACAATGTTTTAATAATATTTATTAGTTTAATAGTTATCCAATCATATTAATCTAGGTATTTCCACATACAATTTTCAGAATGCGTACGCAAATTACAAGTAAGAGAAATTAAATGAGGAAAAAAAAGAAACAACACACGTCCTACAGGAACGATTATTTTCCTCAAAACTCACACAAAGCGAGATTGGGTGCTTTGCCGCCGAAGTAAGTTGAAGTGAAACTCGGCACTTTTCCTTAAGAAGACCTTTAACTGCGCCAGATAAACATAGCGGGCAATTGCTTAGTGTGAAGGGTCCTTGCGAAAGCGGTGCGATCAATAGGTTTAAAATATGGGTCAAGCTCAGCGCGAGTCCTACGCTACAGTGCCCACCTGCGTCGAGCCTTTGAGTGCACCTTGCACACTGGCAATTCTAACTGCACTCTCGATACATTAACCATTGCATTATTTATTTACTTTAGCTGAAAAATAAACCATCGCCCAATTTTACCTAGTTTTGAAGCGTCAAACAATATTTTTTTTCCTGATACGATCGACATTGTTAAATGCGTATTTTGAATGTATTGTTATAGATAAATTCATAAAGGACTATTATATTCGTGATTTTATTAGAATATCTTATACTGTCTCATTATATTTCGCAGGGGACGTAAAGCAGGCTGTGTTTTGAAAGTAGCCCTAAATAAACTTTATGTGAGTACTGTGATAGCGCTGATATAATTATTTCGTTTGACTGTAACTTCTGTATGATATCCATTGTTTAATTTTATTTTAAAAAGCTGTGTTAAGTAAAAAGCCACTTGGCATTTTTATACAGTCAACTGGGACTTTGAAGGATCCTAAGATGCGTCAGGTAGGCAACTCTTCTTTATGTAAAATAAGTGTTTTTCGATTACGGATTATCGTCAAATGCCTCATCTTGCACTGTGTGAGGTGAGAGTGACTGTCAGACTCTATGAATAAGTATACCCCGTTTCGTCTCCTGCTCCAAGCTTGTCGAGGCCGCTATTGACTTAAATCTCAATGTTTTAATGACAGCTTTGTTACTAGTTTATTATCTAATGACTATATTAATCTAAATATAAGAACAGTTTCTAATTAAAAAATAAAATGTATACTTTTACAAATTCTTGCTTGCAATTAGTTAACAATTGTTGATCTTTTTAAGTCTCCTACGAATATTTTAAGACGTACCTAAGTTAGCCAAATTAGTTCTCGATTTTTTGAATAGTCAATGGTAAGTTGGTAACATTACAACAGTATAAAATTCTCTTCTGTCATGATGTTAGTTACCTTACGCCTCAGGAACGGCTTCACCGATTTTTATCAATTTTTATATGCATACTCATGGGTCTGAAAATAAGCTATTGGCTATTTGTCATACCCCTAAATGATACGGGTTATTCTCACTCTTTTTCAAAATAATTTATTTTGCAAAACAACGTTTGGCCGGTCAGTTTATCATCATATACATATAATTGATATAGTTATGTATTTTATGTCTTAATAACAGTACTTGTACGTTATGGTACAAGGTATTTTGCTAAGCTGATTAATTTAATGCATTTCTACAAATGTGCCCTATATTTACGCATATTGAGCTGACGGAATGTTATTTCAATTAGTGCTCGCTCTCGGTATTGTAGGCCGGATGATCCACGCTAATCTGTTAGGTATCAAAGCTTATTTTATTACTACTAATTGATATAGCATTGTTCATAATCCTGTTGCAGGAAACACTAATTATTTTGCATTTAATTCTGTTTACTAGCTATATTTTAGTCCGTGTATTTGAACTAACTATACAAATTAATTTAGTTCAACTTTCAATGTAAGCGGATTATTTGAACAGATATATTTGGTGTTAAATTCAGAATTGAAATTATAAATAGACGGTTGGTAGATCAATAGTTTTGTGGTGCAGATGAAATACTATTATGATATAATTCAGCTTGCACGAGGTCGTTAAAGCGGCCGCTTCTTATAAATGAGGGTACGTGTTCAAAACCTGGCAACTTCATGTCTTGTTCATCAATGTGACTTTTTCCGAATTATATTTCCTTTTAAGGAAAATATCGTGAGGAAACCTGGACTTATAATTTCTATTATAAGTTTGAAATCGCCGATCCGGTAATTGAGCAAGCGTGGTGACTAATGCTCAAACCTTCTCCGTGTGAGAAGAAACCTTTGCCCAGCAGTAGGCACTTAAAGGCTGATGATGTGATGTGATATGAATTCAGCTTTGCCATTGAACGTGGCAATGCTGTTATAGATAATCACACACATAGACAAAACATTTTTGTTTTTGTTTTCTTTTGTCATAATTTTTTTAGATTTTTAGTATTATTTTATTTTCTACTTTTTTTGTATTTTTGTTTTATGAGTGTGCGCTTGCGCGAAAATAAATGTTTTTCTTTGTTTCTGTTAGTCTTTTGGGCAGCCTACCTCACAACAACAGTGCGGAGTTTTTTAATCCTCAAACCCCTTACGCTTAATTTCCTTACAACCCACAAGAGGCTTGCAACGCATTAGTAGTAACTCCTTTGGTATCACGAATGTTCATGTGATTTCGATTGCTTACCGCCAGGTAATCCGCCAGCTCGTTTGCCGACACACGACATACAAATAAAATTCATATAATTTAATTTAACCTCTTGTCTACCGGTATTTGAGACACAATAGAAAGCACATTATCTTGCGTAGAACTCCGCTCCGGTTAAAATATATTTGCTTTATTTTTTTAATAAAAGATGCACTTTCATATATACTCCTATTAAATTAGACGTAGTTATACGGTAAACATTTTAAGTTGGCAGGAAGCGGGTTCTCGGCGCCACCAGTTCTAACGATCTTACAAAAGAGGTTAAGACAGAAGGTTTAATGTGGGAGGAGTTAAACATCATAATATATTGTAAGAGGAAAAGACAAAGAATGAAGAATTAACGAAGCAAAGAAAAACATCGTGACCTCTTTGGAACGATATTATATACTACATTTGATACACTGTGCAGGTGTACTCTGATTTTCAACTTTATTGTAAAAGTCATAAGCTAGGATACCTATCTATTAAAGTAATCATTGTACCTACCATATTTTACAGAGATTAAATTTTACTGCTGTACTAAGAGACATTTCATAATTACATAAACAGTATTTTTTAGAAACTATTTTGTTCCGAAAAGAGTTAAAAACTGGATATAGATTACTCTGAAAACGGCGGTTAGCCTTAACCTTCCAAATCCACTGCAACTCCTCTTCCCACCGAAACAACCACGAAAACACCGAAAGGCTCCAGTCCGGCGCATCCTAGGGACATGAATGACCGTCTTGGATCCTGCAACAAAATAAATCAGAAGATATTATTTAAGGAGAAGAAAAAATTAATAGTTATAGCGGTTAGCCTACAATTACTTTATCAATGCCTAAAAAACGTTATCAAAAGATTTGCCGTAAAATAGGTTAATAAACACACTCAATAGAAGATACCATCACTTCTTTTCATTTTAATATTTGAAGGCAGACAATGACCGTCCATAATAGCCATTAAATTGTAAAAGAAATAAAAACATACTCACTAAACGACGCAGACGCACACAACATGGCGGTAGGCGTTTTGCATAGGTGTGCGTAAAACCAATTCATCAGGAAAGTGAAAGGACTCATTTGTTACGTATTTTACGAAGGAAAATGAATACAAGTGTGACACATGTGTGTGACGACAGACGATCGACAAAACGTAACACGTTGAAGCTGACTCAAGTGTTGACAAACAAAAAACACGTAATAGATGATACGCCATGAGTCTAATCTGTGACTTCCTTATTTCTAAGTGGTTTGAAGGTTATTAATATTATAATATAGTCATCATCATCATTCATTCATCAATCTCTAAAATGCCAGCAACGCAGTTCATACTCCTTTGGTTTTGCTTACCATCACGTGATAAATCTGCTCATTTGCCAACTTATGCCATAAAAAAATCTTATTAAACGCTAAACAACAGCAAAAGAATTATGTGTATTCGTTGTAAAGAATTTTGCAGTAATTGAAACAATTTATTTATGTATTCATTATGGTCTGCAATCTTGCAGACCGATTACCCGGTGGTAAGCAATCGGCGTCGCCTATGGACAACCGCAACACCCAAGGAGTTGCGAGTGCGTGTGGCCTTTTAGGGATAAGGGTTTATCAACGAGCGTTGTCCAATAAAATGGAAAAAGTGCAGTTTTCTTCTTTTTCTAAAGTGCTCAAACTCTTTAGTTCTTCTGAACTTGGTTGTGCCACGGAGTTGTGGAGTGGCCGTCACTCGCCACGCTCATTTCCGGTCGCCAATCGATAATCAGATCCATTGATGTGCACTCCGCTTAGATTGGATTTGCGACCTGTGGATATACGCCTTGCCTTGACACGCACGCCTCTACTTGAACGATATTGTTATTATACTTTTATCCTTAA